TCCCCGCTCCCCAGATTTGTTTTCATATGACATCTTTTTGTGGGGCTACCTTAAGGCTAAAGTGTACCCTCACAAACCCTGTATGTTACAGGAACTGAAAATTGCTATTCGTCAAGAACTCGCAAGAATACCACAAGAAATAATCCTTCGTGTAATGCACAACTTCCAAGAGCGGTTGGAGATGTGCCAGCGCGAAGAAGGGCGATACTTGAGTGACATAATTTACCATAATTAATTTAAAAGTGCAGTATTATTACTTTATTTAGCTGTAGTTAAAATAAAATTATTTTAAACATAAAAAATGTTATGCTTACGTGAAAATCATGCGTTTCCTCTGCGACACTCTGTACATGCCGTATACAAAATTACAATATACTTCCTCACTTGTAGGCATGAGAAGTAAAAGGATAGGATTGATATTGATGTTGAATTCATCACTTTAATGGGCACCATTTGCTGTTATACCTACATACCCTACATTTTTTCATAAAACATTTTTTCTAGCCTGCACCTAACCACTAGCATGCTTGAGGTTTGTTCTTGAAATACTCGTATGGATCCACTCTAATACAAAATTTTGCCATAGACGCAAAGTTGGAATTTTCCTTTACACGACGTGTAGAGCTTGAAAAAATATGGGGATTTTCTTAGTAGCATATACACTAATGTCTTACGAGAACCAAGATATTGGGCTCCGTAAACTCAATCAAACCTTCACATTAGCTTTGTTATATCAAGCGTAGTTATGTCTGTAAAGGAAGACCCCAACTTTGCGGACATCTCGTATAGGTCATGACGTGCGATTTTCAGCTGTAGTATTATGCTTTAATTTTTGGACATCCACATATACCATAATTATTTACCATTAGCATATGTCTCTGTAAACTATGTAAATACCTAATGAATTTTAACTTACCGATTGGTGCCATTTTGCACATCTTTATTCCAACATATAGAATCCTCACCATAAAATTCGAGCGGAATGACCGTGGAAAATATAAAATCACCGGCGGTCACTTAATTCATACACTTCACCCATTTATACACATATTTTCGATTACACTCAAGTTTATACTGCAACATAAGTAAACAATCACGCACCCGAAAAATACCTTGCACATATGAAATCTTCGACCCGAAACTGAACCGTTAAAAACCAGGATACAATAAAAACAATTGAATGCAAGACAATTAATCTCGGCCAATCCCAAGTCTTGTTTTTCCCAGATTTAAAGTTGGCTGGCCTGCGAGCCGGTGTTTGATGGGTTAATTCATATTCCTGAGAGAAAATATAGACTAGTCAACTAGTGGACATAGATATTTTCATTTGCTATTGATAGGAAATCATTTGCAACTTTTTTGATATTTAATCGTTTCATTTTGCCCTCAGAGATGTGGGTATGTATATGGTGTACAGAAATTATAAATGATAAACCTCCAGCTGCAAATTGGTGACGTACTATGTGGCAAAATTTTCTCGTATCAAAAGTCTTATAAGAATCTTATTCGAAATTTTCATCATTTCATTTTTTTGTTGATAAACCCGCATGCGTTCAGTTAATTCTGTGCCATTCCTTTTGTTAGAACAAGTTTGTTTTAGAACACTCTCAGAATTGAGTCTTTCATGCCACGCACCTTTTTTTCTTAGGGCGGTGAGAAACCGACATAAAAATGATACCAACATGAAAATTTTAATAAAAACCCGTTCTCACGTCTTTGATACCCTGTATACTGTGAGCGAATCAGTTATGATCACATATATGTATGTAGTCGAAAAATTTGATTGGTTATTGGCACTTTTCACATGGTATGTATACCAAGGGCTTCAAATCAGACTCTCACCACTGGGATCTCAAAAATGGTAACAGATACGATGTTCGCTAAATAGGGGCAAAGTTGGGCACATAGCTAACTAAAAATATGACACTTATAGAGTTTCACAACTTAGCGTATTTCCATTTTTTCTTAGCTTTGAGGTTGGATTTTAAAACAGCTTTGACATTGACACTTTTTCTCTTCAAAAACATAGCATACTCAAAAACACTTGTCGGTTCCTGTACTAAACAGACTGTATTCACAGATTCGGTAACTCCATACTAGTAGATATAGAGATAGCAAAGCTTTGTATCGATATCTTGGGGCAGTCCTTTTTAGATACTCAAACTGTTGTGTTATCCATAAGATATCTAATTATCCTCAAATTAATGATAACAAAAATAATCATGTCTCAATTTCAAGGTTGAATGGCTTACGTCTTCATTTTTTCATTTTTAGTAATCGGCAATTCTAAGTCACAATGGATTCTTTTAAAATCTGTCTTGTCAAACGAGGGCTTCGCCAGCTCAAAACGGAAGGGGGGCACCTCGAAAAAAAATTTTGGTTTTTTGGTTCCACAAATCATATCTACTTCACAGTGCTGGATACTTTTTTCTATTCGCGTTTTATTGTTTTATACATTCATATAGAGTCCTCCACTATAATATAACAATTCATACGGATATAGAAAGCTACTAGGATTAGTTTTTTGAAACATTCAAGCAAATAATGCACAAAATTCAAAAGGGTGCCCATTTTTTCAGTCAAGGCAATAGGTCAGGAACTGTAACCGCGAATTCTAAAATATGTGGAGTGGAATCTGCGTTGAAAAATCGGAAAATTGCTTATCTAGAAACGTCACAAAACATATTTAATCAAGCTAACTAGCCAAATATGAATCCTGTTGTAAAAAAATTGTACATAATGACACAAAATAAACTTAATAAAATAAAAAAATATATCAGAAGTTTTGTAAGTAAAACTAGGTTTAAAAAAGGTATGTTTTTTTTATAATCGAATTTCGAATTTGAAATTATTTATACACTACACGTGATTGTACGACTTTGAAAGATCATAAGCCAATTGTTTGAGAAGATTTGCACGAACTGTTTATCTGATCTGTTTGAGTATATGTATATCATTACATAATTCAGCAAGAAAGACGATCATATCTCGGTAAATGTAGTCCTTAGAGCACTGCGGTTTCCATCAAAAATCACCAAGTAGCTTCCCCAATCGCCCAAAAAATTTTTTTGGTTCATATTAGAATACATGCCACTTCAAAGGAAGACGCTTTAATATAGCATATTGTACTAATTTCGGAAATAATTTTTCCTTGTCGATGTTTATTACTTGAAATATCATTATTGCCAAAAATAGTTTTAAAGATTACGTAGAAGAACCTAGTTTGTCGAAGAATGATTTGAAAAACAAATTTGACATACTTTACCCATTGTGATCTCCAAAACGGTTATAGATATAAAATTTCAAGTGATATAGTTGGTTTAAACTCATCGAATAAGGTACAACATGTCGTAAGTCATTGATATTATTTAAGGGTAACAATCAAGGTAACGAAAACTATAATTTTAAAAAACTGAGAGCTGAAACGTCAGATCGAAATTTTAACTGTCACTATGCAGAGGAGAAAAAGTGGCAATGATATTGTATAATTTGTTTGAAATTTTTAGACAATAAATAAAAAGTTTTGATTCAGACTAAAGCCAGGAAAAAATAGGGGAGACCAAAAATCATGAACAACGGGGATCTTTGACAGGTTGTGGGCGCAAATTCCAGGACAACGTGCCAAGAACTTGCAGAAATGTTCAGAGTGAGTCTTGAAACTATTCGTTTGCATCTTCATCAGCTAGGAAAGACGTGGGAGTTAAGCAAATGGGTCCCACATGAACTGACAAATGACAAATTGTCGTCTCACCATTTGTTCAGTAAACATTTCACGCAACGCTAGTGAACCATTTCTTAATCGGTTATTAACCTGCGACGAAAAATGGATCTTGTATTCGAATTCTAAGCGTTCGTATCATTGGTTGTCGCCTACTGATTCGGTACCACACACGCCCAAAGCTTCCTTGCACCCAAATAAGGTTTTGTTGTGTGTTTGGTGTACAGAAACTGGAATTATCCATTATGAGTTTTTGGAAAGCGGTCAAACCATCACTGCTAACTTGTATTGTGAGCAGCTTCAACGAGTACAAGCAGCACTGATCCAGAAACAGCCTTCTTTGATCAATCGGAAGAAAGTGATATTCTTGCAGGATAACGCCAAGCCTCATATTGCAAAAGTGACCCGAGAAAAAATTCCTGAACTCGGCTGGGAAACGTTACCGCACTCGTCATAATCTCCCGACATTTCGCCCAGTGATTATCACCTTTTTTTGTCTCTTGACAACTGTATGAGCCACCGACAGTTCACAACTCGAGATGGTGTAATAAATGCAGTCCGACTATTTTTTTCCTCCAAATCCAGGGAGTTCTACAATACCGGCATATAAAAATTGGTTCCACGTTGGCAAAAGGTCATTGAATGTGATGGAATTACTTCGACGAATAAATAGTGTCTTATTGTTTCTCAATAAAAAATGTATATTTTTCTACTAAAAACCGCACGAACTTATTTGGTTACCTGATAGCTGCATGAAATTATCGTCACAGTAGCAACAAGAGCCATAACCTGCATTTTGCCTCGGTTTTTGGTCATAAGTTTTTAACTATTATCGGATCTTTTTACGTGTGGTCTCATTCTGTAGGTCTCATAAATACCCAAAAATCTTATTTGAAGAGTTTTTGGTTACTGCCATCACTTTCGATTGAATCCCACAAAACATTTTTTCTCATTCTTTGTTGTGGAATAAGTTTTCCCACAAAAATTGGTGTTCCCATTTTACGCGTCCATATTTGAAATACCCCATTCAACAACTTGTATCAATAAAACCAGACTTTTTTTTTATATCTCGTATTGTTAAGGGGGTTAGATATATAATCTAAATCTCGCCTTCTGTAAGAATATTACAAATAAAAGACGTTAATTATTATTATTATTATTAACAATTATTTCCGGTAAATTTGCTAATATGGTTAGACTATAATTTGAAGATAAGCGCATATTGAAAATAATCCCTATAGGTTATTACTTGCATAATTATGTAAGTAATGAAAGACATATCTGTATTTAAATAATTTATTTACATTCTAATTTAACTTTACAGCATTTCTGTCACTAAAAATTAATGTATAAAAAGAGAAACGAATATGTATACGTAGTCTATAGCATTATAAATTTCACTGTCTATACTACATACAAAATTAAATAACATATAATAAATAATACTTTTTAAGTCTCGATTCACCATTCAATTAAAAAAATTAATAGAAAAGACAATTGATTCAAGCAAATTTTCTGTCACTACACGTTCGATATTTATTCCTAACTGCCAAGGCGATTCAGTTAAACATAATTTTTATAATGATTATATACTGAATTTAAATAGCTCTCTGGTATTATTTAATCTACTGCTTCGCTTGATTACATACAGGGTATTTTGGTTGAATCTCCTTGACTCGTAGACTACACCATAAGAAAAACAAGAAAGCTAAACTCCAAAGGTAGCATTCAGCTAATACAGCACGAGGATGTTTCATCTTTAATCAAAAAAGAAAAGTATCACGTTTTGTTAGATTTCGATCTGATATATGAGGTGTGTTCAAAAAGTATCGAAACTGAAATGTCGCCTCGTAAACCAATGAAGCGCGATAGACTTGGTAAAGATGTGGAGGGGACATTCATGCGTAGCCCGGAATTTTTTCCCGCCCGCAGATAGCGTCAGTTGCTGGCAGTCGGTCTACGTGTGAAGATGAGTTGCTATAATCTTGACGATACCCAAACACAATCATGCGAATTCGACGGACCGGCTAAACACCATTCCAAAAACTGCGTTCCTGGAGTGTTTCCAAAAATGGCAGAAGCGCTGGGAGAGGTGTGTGCATCGCCAAGGAGACTACTTTAAAGAGGATTAAAGTTTCGGGGCTCTAAATCATCCAAACCAAAGGTTCGATACTTTTTGAACACACCTCGTACGTCGCACACCATGAGAGAGTGCACCTATTAAGGTAGTGATACAACCTGACTTATACGTTCTTGCAAGGAATTCACCTTTGGCGCTAGCGTTCCTCTTGGGTATACCAAACACGGGAATATCGTTTCTATAGGCTCATACCATTTATGCAGTGTCCCATTTTAATCCCTCTGTCTAACTTAATACAGGGTGCGGCAATCAAACCTGCAATCTTGAAAAAATCGCGCTAGCCAAGAAAGTGGGTGGGGCGAGTTGTCAAGCTTACCGTTGTGTTCGCCCGTTAAAAGCATTTCAGTAGCCATGGATCAGTGGTCTAAGCAAGAACGCGCCTTCGCTATAAAGGCATTTTATCAATGTCTTCAACGGGAAGCATAGGACCATTCTTTTTTGAAGATGAAAGGGGACAAGCTGTTACCGTGAATGCGGAGCGCTACTCGGAAATGTTACGAACATTCTTTATTCCTCGACTTCGCGAACATGGACCGAATGATGAAACGTTATTTCAACAAGATGGAGCCACAAGCCACGCGGCCCGCGTGAGCATGAATCTCCTCAACGAAGTTTTCCCAAATCGGGTGATTTTTGTGTGGGGCACAGTGCATGTGATTTTTTCTTGTGGGGCTACATAAAAAGCAACATTTTCGAAAAAACTCGGCCTCGTACTCTTGAAGAACTGAAGGCGAGAATCCGTCAGGAATCGAAATAATCCCTCAGCATGCTTTTTAACGTAAATTAACGTGGTATCAATACAATTGTTAAAAAGCAACTGTTTTTTTATTAATTTCAAGAATGCAGGTTTGACTACCGCACCCTGTATTACTAAAACTACCGACCATAGCAAAATTTTTCAATTTTCAAACAAAACTTGTAGTGTTTCAGCAAAATGAAGCTGACCTTAACAATGACTTCGGCCACGACCTTTGAGGTCATTTCAAGGTTTTTTACATCGCAATTGAAAAGAGAAGGAAATTTTACGTCTGAATATAGACCTTACCATGACCTTGGCTATTTTCTTCAACGCTATTGCAAGGTCAAATCAAGACATAAAAACAATTTTCTCTAGCAAAAATTTTCTACAAGCACAGTTAAGTAGTCTGTGGGGATCACGCAAAAGGCAACTTTGACCATGTCCTTCAAGGTCAAGAAAAATGTCCAAAGGAAACCTCTCATTTTTACACGTAATCAACAAACAGGAAATTTTACATCCAAATCTGACCTAGACCTCAATGACAAGCGTAAATACTGTTTGAGGTCAAAGTCACATTCGAACCAAAAATTTCCTGCTTTTTCCACTGTCACTATAAAAATCAAAATTTCTTTGTAAATTTTGACTTGATCTTGAATGTCATGCTCAAGGTCATTGAGTGGTCCCATGAACATGTTTGGTATAGCAAATTGTTTTTAATGCCTTGTTTTGAGCTTGAAATGGCTTTGAAGGATATGATCAAGGTCATAAGATCACATTCGGAGGTACAATATCCTCATCTTTTCATTCAAGTGGAAAAGCAGGGGTTTCATTTTAAAATATTCACTTGACCTTGAAATAACATCGAAAGGTCACTTTACCACTCGATACTGTACAACTCTTACTTGAAACTTTTTTTTCCCTAAAATACGCTATTTTCAAAATATACAGGTGGAGAGATTAAACTGGCACACCCTGCAGACTATTCACGAAATGCAAAAATTACTAATTCTCAACTTTTCCCTTATTAAAGATCAAGTCAGATTACAAATGACCACTCGCTGGGTACCTAGGGTAAGGTAATTATGTCAGCCAATTTTGTGTACGGAAGAATCGCTTTATCGCATTTTCTTCAGAATAAAGGAATAGCTAAGAAGGCTCTTTCAATTTGAGAAAAAAGTGAATCAGTTCAGAAATATATTATGTTATTGTTTTAATTAATTTTAAGTCTGATTCACTTATCTCGAAATATTAAATTGCTATAGGAATAATGAAATACCCGAATCTGGTATAGAATATTGGTAAAAATACTCACTCAATAAAGCAACTGCTGAAAATATCTCAATGTAAATTAGAAGTAAATGCTTTGAATAAAAGCAATGATATGAGTAAAAAATACTCAATGTCTTGTAAAGGACAGAGTACGTTTATTTTGGTACGGTTTTTGTATGTTCCAAAAATGAAGGCTTATCAGTGAATGACCGTGTTGTACTGCTTAGTCAGTATCTAGCTAATTCAAACAGCTGCCGACAATAAAGCACTACATTGGTGTCATTCTTTGAATGCGCTCAATATTATTTTCTTTTGATCTCTCAATTGAAGACTTTGGGTTCGGGAAGGTGTTCACTCAATTTATTCGGATTTTAAGATTTGCAGTGCAAAAAGGTGTTGAAAGGATGCTTTTTTGGTAGTACATCTATAAGTATATGAAAAAATGTAATCTGTATACTTCGAAAGGTGTTAACTGTTGCATTCTAGGTAAAAAGGTGTTTACTCAAGATTTAACACCTTTTTGAACTCAAATTTCAATTTGTTTACGTTTGAACACGTTTTCTGATTGTTACGTTTGGGCTGCTTTTTTAAATGGATGTATGTGAAGTTGTAAGTTGTAAGATTATATAACAAAATGGATTCAGTTTTCGCTTAAAATGTAAAAATTAGTTTTTTAAAATTGTAAAGCACACATAACACAGCAGCCAAATAGTAAAGGTTTTTTCCACGTCCACGGAAATCGCGGTCCTGAAGAGATTGGCAGCTCACTTATGGCTTTTTGGAAAATATCAAGGACCAAGGCATGGCTTCCGATCATCTGATTGCACGGAGTCATTCGGCAGGTGGGCAAAAGAAATTTTTTTATATTGTCTGTCTATGGCACTACCTAATAATCCCTGGAGTGTTCAAAAAAATTGACCATAAGTTCCCTGAAGTTGGACATACCTTCATGGACTCTGATAGAGATTTTGCAGCTATAGAATAGTCTATCGGAAAGCATCAACTAATTTATATGGTGGATCAATATATTTCAATCATGGCAGAAGCCAAGAACAAACACCTTTTAACATCACAAGAATGACGAACAAATTTGTTAATATTAAGGAACTTCCAAGAGAACTACAACTAATAAGAAATGTTCATTCAGTGATGTAAGATGGATCCAGATTGAAGAATCTGGTGTAACCAAGTACAAATACTCTTTTATTAAAACGGAAAATTGGACTACTGTTGATGTAAGAAAACAGCGAAATCTCGATAGAAGAGTAGAAAGTGAACCATTGTTATTGAATGTCGTTAGAAGCCGACCTATTGGAGCCAAAAAGTTTACTAATATTCAGGAACAAATTTCTTAATACCAGCAAATTTTAAAGGTTTTTATCAAAATTTAAGAAGAAGAGACAATTAGTTACAGTGGGTGTACTTTTGTGAGTTTGTAATAAAAAAAGAACAATGTTTACTTATAATAAATAACATCATTGAATTAACACTGTTCTGCTATTTTCATTTTCCGGACCAAGCAAACAACAGTTTGTTAAAAAGGTGTCACATTTTCAACAATCTTTTTCAAATTTCTAATAATAACAATTTTTTTAACAAAACTGCTCTACTTTATTATACGCGTCTAAAATAACCTTCAATAATAGAAGCAATAAAAAATGTCAGGATTTAAACTTTGAGACCAATTATTTCCAAACTATAAGATCTGAGTTAACACCTTTTTGCACCAAAGGCGTCAATTGATAATTCAATGCAGCTTTTAAAAATGTACACTTTAATTTGACGTTTTTCTAATCGGATTGTGCAAGAGTTTTATGTGTTTCTATGATCAAATATTTTTTTGTAGAGGCACAAACATCTCCATGGTCCGTTACCACTCCATGAAGAATATTACTTAGGGACATATTATTCCACTGTCAAAGATTTTAAATCGATTTTAGAAACATCACACTCACAAATGTAGGTTTTTGGTATCACCTACATTAAAAATTTCATCGTTAACAAACTGTTAGAGTCGATTCTTAAAATTCATCTATGAGCAATTGATTTTCAATGCCAAAAATAATTGACTTTGCTGACTATTAACCCATTATGTATTGAATTACATAGCAAAAAAGCTGATTTTCTATTGAACGCATTTAAATTGGAGCAGAAAGTCAATTTTCTTTTGGCGAATAATGCACATTGTCGATTGCTATATAAATACGGCAAAGGTATGGAGTAATATTGCATGGTAAAAACGACGGATCAAACAGCAGAGTTCCTCTTTTTAAGCAGTATTAAATTCGAGTAAGTATAAAGCGCAAATTGAAAGAAATGATGATGAAATGCAAGGCTAGTTCAAGACTTACAAAATCCAAATTCAGAGGACTAGAATGCAGTATGTGGTAAAAAACTTCACAATTCATCTAAACAAAGTTGGTTTTTTGCAATATATCGCAGATATCAAAAATAAAACCTGCGTAAATTTATGTATGAAATGATAATTGATGTAGTAACTTTTGGAAATTTCCCAAAATCTAATAATTATGTTTGTTATAAACAATTTATGCATATGATATGTAGGTTCAGGAAACAATGGCAATATTTCTGTAACATAAAATACATCAGGAGTTAAAATCAAAAACTGCTACAAACATGGGTTCAAAATGATACAGGGTGCTGAAGTTATAATTTTGAAATCGAAATAATATCTTCGTTGTGGATTGAGGTATTGACTAAAAATTTTCTATATGCATTACTAATATATACAAAAATGTTTGACCCTGATACTACAGCAGTGGCGTCGAAATTTTGCTCCCTACACAAGAGAAAATAAAACAATTTTCTGCGCCACTGATCTTTTTGAAACGTCCAAATCCCTTTGAATAAGGTATTCAATATTACATAACTTGCTTCTCTTGAGAAATATTCATCAGACCAACCGTCTTGGAAAAAAATGACTTTACTTTGTTGTACTTTGGAACTAGGATGGAGTTAGTGATATATGATGTTAGAATTGTATGTAGTGTTTGTTATAGAAGAGTAGTTTTAAGTTGCGTTTTTTTAACTATATGCTCTTATTTAATCTTATAAGTGGTCTAGAGACTGAAGAGATACTTTGGAACATATATTACAGAAAATGTTTGCTATTTTTGGAAGTACTTTCTACTCTAGAGAATATTGCCATTATTTTTGAGTCACCCTGTATAAAACAAATATTGTTTCTCGCAATTTTTGAGACGTTTTCATATGATATCTTTTTCCAATCTTTTTGTATTCTGTCAAATGTAAGCACCCACTCATGCATGCGACAGTATCATCCAACAATGTTCGATAATGAAGTCAGATAGAAACATCTGTTTGTTGATCATCGTCGAGAGGCATTATCGTGCGATTCAAGTCAGGTGCATAAATGAACACAAAAAGTTGCACACGGCTTCTTTTAATTGACATTGTGTATTGTCAAGATTTTTCAAAATTGAATGTACTAATTTCAGAACAGTACATTAATTTATCATTTGCATTCAGTCATGATCGAAATATTCCAGCTAAAATTACAACACGATCTCACCTGCTAAATATACTGCGCAATTTAAAATCGATCCAATCGGAATATACATTTTTTTAGCATCACCATTATACTTCCACCTTCTTCTAAAATTACTCCATACCGCCGTCATCACCATCAGAATCATCTGTGATGTCTGAGATCAAATACAAACACCTACAACCACACTATTCGAGACACATGACATTCACTTAGAGACCGTCTCGTTCCAGCCCAACCACGGATGGTCTAACACATCTTCAGCTGATAGCCTCAACGCGGGATCCAACTGAAGCATATTCTGGATGAGTTCCTTGGCTAGTGGAGATACGTCTTGCCAATACTCATCGGGGAAATCATACTGACCAGACAGTATGCAGTCGAAGAGTTTCTCCTGATCGTTGTCTTGACTGACGAATGGAGGGTATCCGCACAGAAGGATGTATAGGATCACTCCAGCGGCCCATACGTCAATCTGCGAAAACAAATTTGTTTTTATTGAAGAAATAAAGTCCTTAAGAATCAATCCTTTGCGGCCAATCGCACATCATTATAATAATGATAAGAAAGTATGAAAAATCCACTTGAATCCGACTCCGTTAATTACTGGAACCACTGACCACACACAGGAGTTCTTAGAAACATGTCAACGGTTGTCCATCCTATTTATATGCACGGCCACATATTTTTATTTTTTTAGGGGAATGTTACACGATCAGTATTTACTATCATCCGTCGGCATTTACCATGGAACGTGATATTTATTGAACATGTAGCCTGGAAAACAGAAATTATTGATGTATAAGGTTACTAGGAATCCACTGACTCTGACGGAATTATGAGTAAATATTGATTGTATGGACCACAGTAAATACCGATACTGTGACGAAATAAATATTATTAATAATAGAGATGGTTTTTTCAATGTTTCTTTGATGATACGATCGAAACGTATCACAATGACATCCACGGAGGATATCTTTCATCAATCGATGGGCAGCTCCAAACCGACTAGCGGCGGCAATGTCAGCAACCGTTGAGCAACTGGTCGCTTTTCGTCGCTTTGGTGAAAACGCTTGTATTCCAACGTACAAACCAAGTAGGGCTACCATAGAGTTGCGATCGCAGTTGCTTTAGATAAGAACGGTCCCTAAGGCTGGCTTTTTCAGAGATCTATCGCCATCGCTTTTCACAGGTTATCGTATACTCTCAATGTGTTTGTCATGATTTTATAATAAAACCTAGTTCCCATTTAATAGTTATGTCACCTACTTTAAGACCATAGCCGGATTCTGCTAGGATTTCTGGTGCTACATATGTAGGCGTACCACAGACTGTGTATAAAGGCTTTGTTACTTCGCAGGCTAATCCAAAGTCGCCCAATTTCAACAGCCGCACTTTACCATTTTCTAATTCAACCTGAAAAGTACCATCATAAATATTACATCTTGGAGAAAACAATGAAGTGTTCCCTTAACACTTACCAATAGATTTTCTGGCTTCACATCTCTATGAACGATATTCATACTATGTAGATAAGCCAAAGCTGAAGCTAAATTGTTTATCATAAGCGCAGCCTGTTCTTCTGAAAATTTCTGCGCTACTGCTATCGTATCAAATAGATCTCCACCTAAAATAAAAAACTTATATTGTAGATGCCGATACCAAAGCCAATATTCATGTTAAAGAAACTACTCGGAGAAGAGCAATAAATAATATATAATTCGTTAGCACTTAGATTCTTAGTACGATTATTAAACAATCTCATTCTCGAAATGAAGACTAGACCTGCCATGTTATCTAACACAAATAGTCTTGAATTGTGCCACTTACCATTCACATATTCACAAACTAAGTACAACATACTCTTTGTATCTTGCTCTTCTATTAATGACATTATGTAAGGATGATTCACCTTGCTCAATATTTTTACTTCATTTTCTATCATATCTTCCTGCAACAGAAAATCTTTATTCAATTATTCATCAATCGTTGTGCTACTACTTATTGTTAAAACTCGAATATCAGAGTTCAGATCTAGAAGGTGCGGTTTACCAACCTACATTGATCCAATAAAAGCTGGAATGGATTACTTTTATTTTCATATTGTATTTTAAAAAATCCTTATCTACAGCAAGAACTAACATAAGGTCTGTTCAATGTACACTGCTTTTGGAATAGATACTTTCGTCGCCTTCCACACATAGTGTCGTAAGTGACATTTTAGAGATTTTAAAGTAGAGCGAAAAAACGAAAATGGGTGTAATGTTTCTTGGTAATACCGGAAAACTATATGAGGAGACTTTTTCATTTTAATACAATGACTAGTATGCTTTTCAAGTAAATCAATTTTGTGTTGAAGAGGTTGAAAAAGTTTTGAGTTTTCCAGATTTTTGAAAAAGTTGTCACTTACGCCAGTTTCTGTGACTTTTTTCTTTCGACTTCCTACAGACAGGTGAGTGGGCAATATAAAACTTGGAGTTGATTAGATGATATATTTTTTAAGCAATATAAGAATCAACCAGCAAACTTAAAATTATAATACACAGTGACCATGATACAAAAAAAACTGTTTTTCAAAATACAAATGTTCATTTTTTTAAACAGTAAAAGAATAAACCGCGCAACTCCTCCTCAAGGTCTTACCTTACTACCTGCCTTCCGACACACTTCGCACTCTAACACGCACTCATACATGTTCGCGCTGTTGCCGAACCTCTTCACCGTTTACAGAGCAAAGTAGGATCAACGAATTTCTTCTTCGCTATCTTCCGTGGAGCATTGTTCAATTATCAACCTTAATATTACCTACTTTTTGCACTTCAATCATTGTAGTTCGATAAAGTCATAATTTGAGTCAAAGTGGCTATACTGAAAAAATATTTTCTTAGGTTCTTTTTTGTCCACCATTAATTCCATAACATCAGTCCAATTTCAGTTTTTACCTTCATTACTGGTGCGAACTGTTACAATTCGTAATAGTTTTGAAAAACTTTTAGAAGCCTGAAAGTCTAACCAGCCCATCGGAATGACTTTCTATGGATTTTTTTGTCTGGCTAATTCGATTATAGGGTAAAGTTGGCTGGGAATAAAAATATCACCAACCTGTGAAATAACTGTACTTATTGCGCTATGCGGTGAATCTACTTCACTTTGTCAATGATTGGTCTCAAAAAAATGTAGAGATATGGATTTGGTTCCCTTGATTTTCTAAACTGCATACAACATCATGGTAGCCATAATCGAGTTCTTGTTCTGGCCAAAACATCCATCTGAATATAGAACTACAGATTTTATACCTTTTACCGAGTAATACTCGAGGCTTTTTTTTTTGATACTGCATTAATAATAATTTCTCACAAACGTTTAGTGTGATTCAAAAACGAAATTTTGTTAGATACACCATTTATCTTTATTGCTATTGCTCAAAGGTTTTTGTTCATACAGTTGCGTCACTTTGTGGGGCGTGCAGCAGTTCAAAGTAAGCTTTGGGGCGGCGTAACTCAATTTTTGGATTTTTGTTAGTTACGACACTATGTGTGGAAGGCGACGTTATAAAACTCCGTTGAATGATAACATACCTTTCCTTTACACTTGGATTTATCTATTATCTTCAAAGCATAATCTTTATTCGTACTTGTATCTTTGCATAGCCTAACGACAGCAAAATTGCCTGGAAAAAAATCAGTGTCAACAGTTTACTCTGTCGTAATTATAAAAAATACATACCATCTCCTATTGTTCTCCCTACAATATATTTATTTCTTAAAGGCAATGGTAAAACTAGATTGTTATCTTCACTTAACTTCTTAAGTAAGCTCTCTTCAGACTCATACGTTCTGTTCAGTTCTTTTTTAGGCATCTTAGGTTTTGGACCACTCCTGCAAATACAACAAATTAGTAATTCAAACGAGATGATATCTTGAATTTGTAAATATTCAAGTTCTGTGGAAAGCTTATAATATAGCTTTCCAAAATAATATTCCAGATAACACCTCTCCAGGCAATTAATATACCGTCAAATATTGGTCAAAAACCATATATTTTTGTCATTACAGGGTCCGGCACAAAGGACGGATGTTTTTGAAATGGCTAGTACTCTCCGCCAATTCGGGCGAAAGTGGTGGGGAGAGTGCCGTTCGACTCGGACGTTCCTAGCATTTTTACCAGTAGACATTATGGAGCAGTGGACGGTTCAGCACCGCGTTTTCGCGGTTAGTTATATTGCGTATGATTTGTTAGCATGATATCCGCATACAAGGATATTTTCCTTCTGTGGCAAATGCATTTGTTCACAATGTATAATTGATTGAATAAATTATTATTATTATAATAAAGCCACAGGTAAAAGCTGTAAAATGTCGGCAACTCATAACACTAGCACGACATCCTCCAGGTCGTGTGATAATTTTGCACTGAGTACAAAATTAGTTCACAGTCCGCACCAAAAGACCAGAGCATTAAATACGATAAGTACTTAGCCTACAAAAACAAACGAAAATTCTGGAAAAGTGGCGATTTATTTGTCAACATTCTCCTTTTAGATCGATACGTTTTCTGGGCGTCTGCAAAGTTGGCCTCCGTGGCGGCGATAACCTTCTCATTCGTCTCAAATTTCTGCCCGGCGAGCGACTTTTTCAAGTCTTGATAGAAAAAGAAGTCGCACGGAGCCAAATCTGGAGAATACGGTAGATGGGGCAGCAGTTCGTAGTCTAAGGGCCAATTTCACCAATAACGGTCCGTTATTCTCCACCTATAGGGTAACAGACCGTCAGATACAGAGGGAATGAGTTTCAAGTTCCAATCAACAAATTTTAGCAACCAATAGCTATGAGATGTTGAAAACAAAATACTGTCAAAGTATGAGACGACAGCTTGTCATTGAAACATCACCAGCTTATTGAATATTAAGAATTTACATATAATTCAGTCAAAATTTTAAGAAATGTTTGATTTTTGGATTGAATTCATGTTTTAATTACTATTGTTGATTTTTTATTCATGTTTATATTATTTTCTTCAATTGATATCCGATACTGGGTGTTTTTTCCTATAAACCTCTTGCAGATAGCCATTAAGCACGTACTTGATGACAGGCTCTACCAAAAGATATTGCTCGTTTCCAAACATTCATTTATTTACTTGCCGTTCATCAGAACCATTATGGCACCTTAGATTGATATTCCCACAAAACCATTCAGGTTTTTTGATATCCATACATCCATAAAGTTGAATATTCTTCGTTGTTCAGGAACTGAACAAACATCCACACTATATTCACAGCGATTAAGAAATTCCCAAATATATGCCTTAAAGCTACCAGCAAACCTAAAACCTGCAAAAAAAACTACAAATTTGCCATATTTTTCTTTTTTCACGAGTACACATTCTAGGTTATATTTATATTAGACATTATTTGAATACAGCTGATTATTGCATTTCAAGGAGTGACACATGTGTGGGATCTGTCAACTCTTGGTACCAGTCACAAAACATATACTCTGAAGGTTTAATTCCATGCTATTCAATGTCAACACGTTGACTTGTGTCGTTGTCAGCGGCCATTTTGTGAGGGTACGACATGGTTGTCAGATTGTGCATTAATATCCCGTTTCATCCTCCTGGTCCCAGAGGAGTAAGTTCCGCCAACTGTTGAAATGTACTCTACCATACTTTATAAGACTATTCGTAACATTTTTCCCAAAACCACTGCACAACACTTGAAAAAATGCAAATGAAAATTTAAAATTATTTCCATGACGCCGCAAAATAGCTCCGTCGGTACCTTGGGTTATACATCTTGACAGAGGGATGTTCGATACGATCGTATATTTAGAAGTATCAATACATTTCACGAGTATCGTCATCTTTCGGTCCGGACTGTGACAGAAAGAGTGACTGCCATTTGGCTGGGACGTTATCCTACCAAATCAGACATATCTTTCATCATTTTCAAAGAAATTGTACAAAATCTTCAAATTTGTGACGTTAGCGAGTTTCACTTCATAGGTTGTTACCAGACATGCCCGAATCATCAGTTGCTGCCGTGATATTCATCCCGACCACTGCATCCCCACGGCTACGCGACCTGTATGTTAAATTTGTGTTGATAGAGAAGCGGGTTATGCTATAAATCATATGTCACAGTGTTTGTGCACTGATCGCAACGGTTAGATGATATCAAAAATATTTTCACAAATAGGAGATCTTTCCTATTCCGGATCGAACAATCTACCAAAGATGCTTATAATCATGATACCTAGTAAATTTTCACGAAAAAAATTCAAAACCAGCAAATGTAAAAGATTCATTTCGCACCCTCCACCACGGGACGTGATCGTCGTTAGACTTTTCAACCCTGCGAGTGACATATAGATATCCCCGCCAGTGCGCCAGTCAAAAAGACAAACATTAAACATTACTATTTTTTTACGATTTTTGGACTTAAAAGACATTATTTGTGAAAATGTTTTCATAATTTTTTGTCTATGTCCATAGTAATTGCATTATGCATCAGGGAGATGTAGGGATTGACACGTCTTACACATATTATCTGTGTTTTAGGATGGAGAGGACATAATGTTTTTATTGCTTTGAAGAAATTCATGAACCCATAAATTAATAAATGATTACTATTATGACGTAAAGGAAGATGAGGAATTGGATGGAATGTATTTTATATTCTATTTTCTTGCAAAATACAGACAAATCCACACTATTCAACAGGTATGTAATGATAACCTTCAGTATATTGAAGTTGGTAAATTCGAGAGTGCCATGTATTAAAAAACGTCCAAATCTGCTGCCAAATTTAACAGCTAGAAAATCGACCTATTATTTGCCGCATTCCCATTCTCTGAAGCGACTAACGGATTGTTAAATCTAAACCTATAACATATATCAAAATACATGAAAGTTGTCCTGTTTTTTCTGTACAAAAGCATCATGTTGGAATCAAAAAGTGGTCTTGTTTATAATACAGTCGAATTTTCACGATTTTATTCAATATTTCAACAGAAATCACTAATATTCAGAGACCTTTGACAGCTTCTGTCAAATTGCATTTCGATAAGGTATTGGTCCATAATATTAATGTTGGTGAAATTGGACCTAATTCGACCAATTTAGCCGTGACCGGTCCGTTGTCATGGTGGAAGAGCACTTTTTTCTTTGCCAAATGGATTTTTTTTCTGCAATTGGAATCGGCCCAATAATTCGGCATACTATAGCGCTTTGACCGATTTGGCCTTCTCCAGCTGGTCGAGATAGATCACATCTTGTAAATCCCAGAAAGTTCACTGTTTCGACTGTTCCTTGTCTCTGGTGTGAACCAGTGGATCCATGATTCATCGACGGAACCGAAACGACCGAGAACCTCCTGCGGATTGCGCTAAAACAACGTCAAACACTGTTCTGAAGTGGTCTCACGGTTGCGCTTGTTGACCGAGTAAGCAAACGCGGCACCCATCGCGTAGACAGTGTTCTCATGGCCAATATTTCATGCAGGATATGACCCATGCAGTCTTTTGGGATGCCTGCTGCCTCAGCTAGCTCGCACACTTTCAATCGGCGATCTTTCAATATGAGATCGTTGATTTTTGTCACGTTATTCTGTGTGGTAGCCATTTTCGGTGCATCTGGGCGTGGCTAATCAAAAACCGACGTGCGATCACGTTGAAACTAATTAAACCAGTTTTTGACGGTCGCCATTTCCCTTCCAAAAAGAAGAATCGAATCACCGACCGATATTGCTCTTTCCCATTTTTCTAAAATCCGCGCACACGTCCGCTTCCATAAAACGACGAGTCCGATTCGACTAAAATTTTTACAGCAGCCATCTAAGAGAATATACTACACGATAGTAAATTCCTCTTGCGATAGCGGCGCCATCAGGCGGTGAGGCTAAGTACTTATCAGACGGCCCTCGTGTTTTACCAAAAGAAAACGCTATAAGAAGTTTAAGCCGCAATAAGCCAAGTCTGTGCTAATACGTAGTCAAAGAGTGTTCTTCATACCCGTTCCTGACTCCTGGTGTCCGCCTATACTGCTGCACCGCCTTGCTTTCTTCAAACTCCAACTCAAAGTCAACTTGCTGCGGTCTTTCATTGCCGTACACTAAGAACACATCCTCGGATCCGAAGTAATGAGGCAAATCTGTGACTGCTTGTCCAGATAATGTGAACACCTTACGGACTGCCAGCTGGGTTGTCTCGGAAAATGCGCCCAGGATCTGTTCTGTACTGCTCGAGTTGCGCTTGTTCAGCAGTAGTCGCAGAATCTGAATAGTACAACTTTTTAGTATTCAAGGGAAAACTCCCAACAAGCTCTATAAAAATGAATACATACAGTGTGTCCCAGATTCGCTTCTCTAAACAGGTATCTTGGCTCCCGTTATACTACACCAAAGCTTAAATGAGTAAATTTATAGAGGGAACTTAGTGCTTTCGACAGCCGGCTTGAGATTTGCGATCGGTCATTTGGTTTTGAAAATATCAGCGAAAAACGGAAAATGGAGTAAATCCAAAACGGTTAATTTGACAGCTGTCAAAATGTGAAATTATTCGGACATTTTTTTAAGAAAAACAAAATAACATTAATGAGTAAGGCATAAAAAACACATAAACGTTATATATTATATATTAACGTTAATATCGACTCCTCAACAAGTCAAATGTTTTGGAAAAAATTCCCAACTATGAGTGTGTTATAAAAACAAGTCAGAAAAATCGTCGTAAATTTATTTTACACTTGAACAAACAAACATTTAACAAAATTGTAATGTTATGTAAAATCTAATTATATAAGTGAGTATTAATTTACAGATTTGCAAAATAACGTCCGTTTGCATCCAGACATTCTTGACAATTGGTGACTGTTTTTCGTACAACCTTAGCTAGTGTATTTCTGTTAATGTTTCTAACTGTGCTCAAAATTCTTTGTCTCAGGATTTCTATGGTCGCGTGAGGATCAAATTCATAGACCTTATTATTTGTGTGACCCCAGAGGTAGAAATCCAAGGACGAAAGGTCAGGGAATCTAGGAGGCCAAGATATTGAACCATTTAATGAAATTATTATTTCATCAAACTGCTCTCTTAAGAAGTTCCTGACTTGAATGGTGTTGTGAGCCGGACATCCGTCCTGTTGAAAACAGGTTCTTCTAAGCTCATATTCGGTTAGACTAGTTCGTAAAGCCGGCACAACCTGGTATCGCAAAAGCTCTCGGTACCTCTGACTTAGGTTGTAGCCAAACAAAAATGGTCCTATAAGTACATTTTCTGAAATGATTGATACCTAATTTCAAATAGGTGCCCAATTAAAAAGGGTAAGTTAGATTAAATTACCAATGAGCCCTCAGCAAACGTTAGTTCCACATCTGGTCTGTAGACTTCTCTCTGACACTTCGTAAGGGTTTTCTACAGCCCAGTGATGTGTTGTGCTTATTAAAAACACAAAAGCATTTGACTTGTGGAGGAGTCGATATTAACTTTAATATACAGGGTGACTTTGATGTTGAGTCATTAATTTTCAGATAATGATTGTAGAAGGAAGATAAACCAAAATATGTGTGTAAAAATAAAACAAAAATTTACCTTGTTTTATAAAGTAGCCTCCCGACAAGTATTTCAATGCGGACCTGTATTTGATCGTGAGGTCTTGGAGCACCGGCATGCCGTCCATATGTGAGGTCTTAAGTCAAATGATTCACGAACCCGTTGTACTACATTAACAAAGGCACGAGGGGTTGGTTGCACTCGATTGGGAAACCGATCCGCATAAACATGTGCCATTTTTTATTTCGTTTGAGCCACGCAACAGACACCACTATCCACTACCGACTGACACTGACTGTATACAACTGAATGAAATAATTGTAAAAACATCGTTCCAAATTCTTTCGCTTTTTTGTTTCCGATGCGATGAACCGATAAGGCGGATTATATCCGTTGTCGCCAAACACGAGCACATAATATTATTATTGAGACAGGGCGGTACTCAAACTTCTAAAGGGCTATAATTTTGTTACTTTAATTTTACCAGAAAAATGTTAAAGGAAAAAAACATTTATTTTGATCAGATCTACTCACTGTTAAAATAAATAACTCAACTTCGTATATATACATAAAGAAGAAAGAATTTGAAACGATGTTTTTACTACAATGTATAATCTTATTCAGTTGTATTCAGTCGATGTGTCAGTCGGTAACGCGTGAGTGAATAGTGAATAAAAAATGGCACATGTTTACGAAAATGATGAATGTAGTACAAAGGGCTCGTGAATCAGGTGACTTAAGACCTCACAGGGGAGGACATGCCGGTGCTCCAAGACCGCACGATCAAATACAGGTCCGCCCTGAAATACTTGTCGGGAGGATACTTTATAAAACAAGGTAACATTTTTTATTTAATTTTTTTTTATTTTTACACACATATTTTGGTTTATCTTCCTTCTACAATCATTTTCTGAAAATTAATGACTCAACTTCAAAGTCAAAGTCAAAGTCAACTTCATATATAATATATAACGTTTGTTTTTTATGCCTTACTCATTAATGTTATTTTCTGACAAATAAATCATGGCCTCCTTAGAATAAAACTTATACATAACATTACGTGTGATGATATTTCGGAGATACTTCAATCTTTTATGCACTTGTGAGACATCGCTAGACTGAAAATTTTACTTTTTTATGCAGGTTGCGGGAAAACAAAAGACGGTTGAGACATTTCATACACGCTATATTATTTGCCTTAAGAAAATGTCCGAATAAAAAACAATATTCGACATTTTCGGTTTTTCGCCGTTATTTTCAAAACCAATTGACCGATCGTAAACCTGAAGCCGGCTGTCGAATGCACTAAGTTTCCTCTAAAAGATTCAACATTTAACATTTGCTGTACGTATAACAGGAATCGAGATCCCTGTATAGAGAAGCGAATCTGGGACATACTCTATAGATTGTAGGTGCTCTTACTTGATAAACTCTTTTATGATGCGATAGAATAGTACAATTTGTTGTACAGGTTCAACCATAAAACACTAGAGAAGTCGTAGAAAAAATAAAAACGAAGCGCGCTACGGCTTCTCCAGTGTATTATTGTGAATTGTAACATTCGATCGCATGACGAATACTTGTGTCTTTTCGACATTGAACACTGAGCACGCCGAAAAATTGACACCCATGATTTTAACAAAGAAAGATAGATACAAAGATTTCCTGAAAGTGATGACATCTTAGTGACCTAAATAAAGAGCTCAAAGGTTATTTGTAGCGATGGTCAAAAATAACCGGTTGAATGGATGACCTGTTTTTTTTAAATCACGTGAACCTGTTTTAACCAGTTATTTCATTACATACGGTTAACTGGTTATCGGATAAAAGACTTTATTCATTGAAAGAAACTTCGTTTTCATCTAAAAAAATCACAACGAATAACATGGGATAACATGAATGAAATGTTTTTGTCGTCTGAAAACTTAGCCGCCTTTTCTTATTTTATATTGTATGGATGCCACACAGGTATACGATTTACGACTTTTTTGGCAAGCGTAAGCACCCTGGTGATGCCTTGAATTGGTATGAATGAAAATAACTTGTTATTTTCGGTTACCGCCCAACCCTACAAATAGCAACCACATTGTGCCTTGCATAAGAGTACAAAGTGACGAACGTCCTCTTGACCTCAAAATGACTTTTCAGGACCAATATGAAAACATCTTGCATTTGACACCAACGCATGATCTAGACGAAAATGCTACATGGCATCAAAAAGAAGAGGCTAACATGAAGTAATACTGGATAAAACTTCACCTTTCTGGGTTTGATGCCGTTCCTAATAATAGTAACTATCCTGGGTCGAACGCAATCGGGAGGGATGATCCTTGGAGGGTTATTTGGAGGGGTATTTTGTACGTTGAATTTCGTATTGGACAGTTTCTTTGACTTCAGCGTGTCGGTCTTCGTATATTCGATTTTCTTGAAAATTTCTCCTTTGCCGCACACCACGTATTCTTTTCCATCTTCCAGGTCATCTATACTACACACCTGAAAAGATATACAAAATCTGAGTCCACTGGAAAATGTCATGAATATTCGACTGAATCCGGTAAATTTTCGATAAATAAAATCGGTGTTCATAGAGAAAAACGGACTAAATCTGGGCATAAGTATATGAAAATGTTTTATTGGCCCGTGGAAAGATCACTTGCATTGCTTCAGTGTGTTAATCTCAAAATCCTACATTCTCTTCATCGAAATCTTGCACCCTAAAAAGTATTGAAGATAAGAAGAGCGGTAACGGCATTCTCTCTGCGCCAAGTAATCTTGAGGTATTACTAAGACCATTGAAGATAGCCAGCCTAATATTATATGCCCGCGTACAAAAAGTTATCCGACAAATGAGATATCCCAGCGTCATCTATGAGAATTTGTCACAACTAGGTGTTTCTCCTCTCAGCAATAATTATAAATCTACTTTGAAAAGGTTAGTGTCTCATAGATGGCGCTGTAGCCAACCATATTCGCATATAACATATAGTAACCAAAGAAACAGTGCAAAATTATTTCTACAAAGCAGGATTTAAGCATGACAATATCAAAGGGAAGACCAGTTAAACGAGTCTGACACACCTGACCCAGAAGATTACTTGCCACTTAGTGTACTTTCAGATATCTTCAAAAATAAGAATTTATTGAAATTGACTAATAATGAAAACCTTTATGATTTGTTGAACCTAGATGAGAGTTTGTATGTTGATCCAGATTCAGGCCAAGAAATTTAAAATCCAGTTGAAATACAAGAACTTTCCGAAGATTCTGATGTCGATAAGGTTCCAGTACCAAACAGATGATATTCCAAATTATAGTAAAGCTATTTCCCTAACCAAGCAGCTTAAATTTTTTGTCGAAAATCAGGAAGATACAGAGTCTTTGCAGCTTCTTTCTAAGTTCGCAATATGATTTACAAACGACTATATATGAATTTTTGCGTCTTTAAAGTGACTTTATATTTAATTGTTTTGTGGTACAACATATATGTATGTAATACATACAGTAATGGACAAAAGTATAGACAAATACGAATATTTGCCTAAATACCTTTAGAAAATAATTCACACTTCATTGCTCCATAAACAAATGCGTTATTAGTCGAAAAACTAAATTCCTTGTTTTTACATTATCTGCAATGAACACAATATAAGTCTGAATATTTTTTTATACTTTTTTATGAGGGACAAAAATATGTAGACAAATTCTTTTCAACATTAGTTTAGTACAGTTTCGTGTCAGAAGAGGATTAGTTTGTGTTCATCAAGTATTGTGGAATAAATTTCTTTCGATGTGAAAACTAAGATCATTGAGTTATACAAAGATGGTCAACATCAAGTCAACATTGCCAAAAACTTGAAGCTGAAGCGTAAAGCGGTTTGGGTAATATTGAACAAATATAAACAAAAAGGTCGGCCTAGAAAACTAAATGCTAGATCAATTAGATTAATAAAAACAATTTCGTCCAAAGGTCCGTTTAAAACCCTAAGACAAATAAAAGCCGAAATCGAGACAAAAGGAATTGCCAGTGTTTCTACGAAAACTATAAGTAGGAGATTAAATGATTTGAAGTTATTTGCACGTCGCCCGCATAAGAAGCCGCTAATCTCGAGGAAAAACCGTAAGGACCGATTACAATTTGCACGGTTGCATCTTGATTGGAGCATCTATGACTGGAAGAGGGTATGTTTCAGTGACGAATCCAAGTTCAATATGTTTGGATCAGATGGTTTTCAGTACGTTAGACGTCCTAGTGGACAAAGATTGAACCCCAAGTACACTTTGCACACTGTCAAACATGGAGGCGGGTGCTTTTCGGGATTTGGGATGGGACCTTTCCATAGAATAGATGGCATTATGTATAAGTTTGTATACACAGACAAACTAAAGCATGCCATGTTACCCTATATGGAAGACAATATGCCCTTAAGATCAATCTTCCAGCAAGATAATGTCCCGAAGCACACTTCAAATCTAGCAAAGAAATTCTTTCTGGATGAAAAAATACCAGTTCTCAAATGGCCTTCACATTCTCCCGATATAAACCCCATTGAAAATCTATGGGAATACTTCGATAAGCAACTACGAGATAAACATTATTCAAACAAGGATGAACTTTCTGCCGCTTTAGAGCAAAAGTGGAGACAGATTGATGAATCTTATATCAAGAAACTTCTACAATCTATGCCGCGACGATGCCAGGCGGCAATTGATAATAATGGTTATGCTACAAAATATTAACACAAACATGGTTGGTTTTCTAGAATTCAATGAACTTTGCTTCTTTTTTCTACGGACACCCCTCTTGAACAGACACTTTCAGTCAGTCCCATTGGTGTGTCCGTCCAAAGGAGATTTTAGTCTGTGATCAAAAAGTAAGGTGAAATTGTTTATAAAATGTAAATTCGTTATTTATGCTGCCAAATCAATTTCATCCCCGTCCGATAAAACGCACTTTTGCCAACGCTTTTTCCAGTCCTCAAGTCGCCGTATTGGCCTTTTGAGTTTGCTCAATGGCCAGAAGTCGCGCGGAGCCAAATTAGGCGATTACGGTGGTTGCGGAACGATATGAGTCGAGTTTTTGGCAAAAAAGTCGTGAAGAACCAATGCAGTATCACATGATGCATTATCGTGATGAAGGTACCAAGAGTTGTTCGCCCATAATTCCGGCCGTTTCAGACGAACGCAAACGACGCTCAAATAATATTTTTTGTTGACAGTTTGGCCCCTCGGAAGGAATTCATAGTGCACCACACCACGATAATCAAAGAAAACTGTCAACATGACCTTGATTTTCGATCGACTTTGCCGTGGTCTTTTCGGTCTTGCTTCACCTTTTGCACGACATTCGCTGGGTTGGTCGGTGGTTTCAGGGACGTATGCGTAAATCCAAGTCTCGTCTTCAGTAATGATACATTTCAAGCGGTCCTGATAGTCAGATAGCAAAGTTTCACACACATCAACGCGACGCTGTTTGTCCAAAAAATTGAGCGATTTTGGCACCCATCAACCTTCACAATGGTTTGGGCTGAGCCAAATGATATTCCAACACTGTCAGCGAGGTCTCTAATTGTCAATCGACGATTTTCAAGCACCAAATCTTTGATTTGTCAGTCGTGGTCCTCGTCGGTAGACGTTGATGGTCCAGAGCGCGGTTCGTCTTCAACGCATTCTCGGCCCGCTTTGAACTCGTTGACCTACTTATAAATGTTTTTTTTTGCATAGTTTGATCACCAAAGGTCTTCCGCAACATTTTCGACGAGTCCGTTGTTCAGCGAAAAAAATTTGATGAAAGTTCTTTGGTCAACAAAATCACCCATTGTAAAAATCGAAAAATTCACTTTTGGTTGTTTACAAAAACACGTGTAACTCGGAGATAATTAAACCTCTTGACAAACAGACGCTTATCAAATGTATAGACAGTCCTACCAGCCTATGAAAAAAGAATTTACTTGCCTTCCTAATGCCCGGGAGTTTTAAGTGACAATTTCACCTTACTTTTTGATCACCGAGTTATGTATTTGGCTACAGTGTCATCTATGATACTAACATTTTCAAAGTAGATTTCTAACTAGTGCGGAGAGGAAAAACAACTCTGATAAATTCTCATTTATTACGGTAATGTTTTTGACATACTATATAGTATTAAGCTGGCTATTTTCAGGTAAAATACATTAATCAATACTTTGACGAGATTCACCGCCTTGAGATCCTGTTGAACGAGTCACAGACTGGCGGAACCAGGCCTCAGTTTCGTAACCTTCGAATCGTTTTTTGGCACTTAAACTATACTGACGTTTCAAAAACATGTGGCAAACAGTTGTCTATATGTTTTAATGCGGCTCAAACGAGATCTTCAAGATTTATCGTTGACACCTGCCTCAATAAACCACTATAAGCAAGTATCTCATCAAACAATCAGTGACCTTGCGTTATACCATCGGACTTCCTTTCCATTGAACTTTGCAACTCACTGTATACATTAGTGACTACCCGAAGTCAGCCTCTGGTGCTCGAGAAGAATTTACAACACATTAATATGGGACAAAATTTGGATTCTGTCAAAATGAATGAAATCATAACTCGTGTCATTAACCTTTTACAGCAATTGCGATAACGAGTACTCTACCTCTCAAGCTTTGCCTTCAGGGCCACTTAATTGTACTGGAAACATATATATATATATATATATATATATATATATATATATATATATTAATTTTGCAGATGAGCATGTGACCATCATTAATCAATGTCCAATGTGCCTCGCGTTAGCTGTTATACAATCTAAGATCGAGTTTCTGGTTCACCCACACTCGTTTACACTAATACCGATGATAAAGGATGTAAAAGAAGCCATCCAAAACCGGCTATGGAAACTTTTCGTCTCTCTCTCAACTCATGTTTCAAGGAATCCAAGACCCCGACAGTGACTGTTCCGTCGGGAGCAAAGCAAAATATCACTGGAATTCGTTATTTTGTTCTTGACCCGAAATAATTATCTATTTGGTTACGATGATGAAGTTTGTTTTTATTTGTAGTTCCAAATATAGAACGAAATAATAATAGACTAAATCAACAAGGTTTTCAATTAGGAATACGTTTTTATAATTGAAAATAGGAGGCTAAGGTGATTGACGAGGCCTCTTTTTTCAAGTTCACTAATTTTACTTATTGATCTTCCTGTTACACGTTTATTCCAGAAACAAGTCCAAAATAAAATGAAATTTTTAGTTTTATGGAAAATATCAATAATTTTCATTCACCACCAGAAGTGGTGTCCTGAGACATGTCACCATAGGAAATTTTGTTGCACATCTATTCTGTAATCATTCACCTCCCCAAGAATTTGTGACCAGCCCAAATGGTCAATTTCAAACACTCAGACTTTTCAAGTTTGAAAACTGCCGCATGAGAGCTGAGGAATTCCCTACATAAATGATTAAAAGTGCCTTTTTACGCTTTCCCTATGTCAACAAACATTGACTTTGATGACA